ACTCCTACTAAATTTCAATGTATTGTCTCAAACTATGTATTCATATGATATAATTTCTGTTGATTCCTAGAATTTCTAGTTAATGTGGCTTAGTTACTATTTCAAGCAATTTTTGTATGTACGCACGCACTGGAGGGGGGGGTGTCCAAAAAAAGTACACGTGCAATGGGGGGGGGTCTAGATTTTGACTTTTTTGTCGGAACTACTCTATAGGCGGCCCCAAACGTTTAATGTATTTTGGAACTGAGTGGGAATGGGCAGGCGCATGTAAATGATGGTATTAACTAATTGTTTGGGAACTGTTGGGAAGTGGCAGCCGCATGTAAATGATGGTATTAACTCATTGTTTTGGAACTGATGGGAAGTGGCAGCCGCATGTAAATGATGGTATTAACTCATTGTTTTGGAACTGATTGTGAAGTGGCAGCCGCATGTAAATGATGGTATTAACTCATTGTTTTGGAACTGATTGGGAAGTGGCAGCCGCATGTAAATGATGGTATTAACTCATTGTTTTGGAACTGTTTGAGAAGTTTCAGCCGCATGTAAATGATGGTATTAACTCATTGTTTTGGAACTGATGGGAAGTGGCAGCCGCATGTAAATGATGGTATTAACTCATTGTTTTGGAACTGATTGGGAAGTGGCAGCCGCATGTAAATGATGGTATTAATTCATTGTTTTGGAACTGAATGGGAAGTGGCAGCCGCATGTAAATGATGGTATTAACTCATTGTTGTGGAACTGATTGGGAAGTGGCAGCCGCATGTAAATGATGGTATTAACTCATTGTTTTGGAACTGATTGGGAAGTGGCAGCCGCATGTAAATGATGGTATTAACTCATTGTTTTGGAACTGTTTGGGAAGTGGCAGCCGCATGTAAATGATGGTATTAACTCATTGTTTGGGAACTGTTGGGAAGTGGCAGCCGCATGTAAATGATGGTATTAACTCATTGTTTTGGAACTAATTGGGAAGTGGCAGCCGCATGTAAATGATGGTATTAACTCATTGTTTTGGAACTGATTGGGAAGTGGCAGCCGCATGTAAATGATGGTATTAACTCATTGTTTTGGAACTGTTTGAGAAGTGGCAGCCGCATGTAAATGATGGTATTAACTCATTGTTTTGGAACTGTTTGGGAAGTGGCAGCCGCATGGGAGCACCCCCACCCAAACAGAGGGGCGGATCCAGAAAGAAAGCAACAATGTGGCTCAAATCTTCAAACAAATCGACTATAGTTTTTATAGGTTATTTTAACACATGTCTTCGCTGCGAAGGTTGTGTGGGGCTGGGAGGATGGCGAGGGCTGGTGGGGCTGGGAGGATGGCGAGGGCTGTGTGGGCTGGGAGGATGACGAGGGCTGTGTGGGGTTGGGAGGATGGCGAGAGCTGTGTGGAGTTGAGGGGGCGGGGTAAATGCAGCAGAGGCCCACTGAATCTGCCACTACCCAAACTCACAACAAAGAAACATACTGGACTGTAATTTTGTTTTATTTCTTAGAAATTTTGACTGAGCCCAACACGATAGAACGAGAGCGTATAAGGGGTCGTCCATTAATTATGTCAACAAAATGTGGGGGGGGGGTGAAACGTCTGACTATTGTTGACAAGGGGGGTGGGGTAGATTAGTTGACGTCAACAATCATGTTTTCTCTATTAAAATTTTTAAAATTCTTAAAAATTGACTGGCTACTTCATAATTTTTACAAATTTAAACGAGTGTAAGAGTGTAAATTAGAATAGTTATATAATTTTTGATCTATTTAAAGTTTTAACTTGTTGATTAATAAGCTACAGATGCAATAAAGTGTTATTCCTACAATGTTGTGTTATTTAAATAGATCAGCACAAAGTGAAATGTATTCATTTATTTATTTACGTTATAATTCATTGGGGTGGGGGTATAGAAATGTTGACATAATTACTTAGGGGCAGGGGGTTCATTGAAAGTTTGACAGTTGTTGACAAGAGGGGGGTGGGGGGGGGGGCAAAAATTGCTTTAAAAATGTTGGCGTAATTAATGGACGTCCTGGGATTTCCCGTAACCGGGGTGTGCAACCTAAGG